GCATTCCCTGGGGACTTTGTTGGTCTGTGCCCCTTGCTGTTCTGTTGCACACCCTTAGTGTTTCGCCTCAGTGTGGTGGGGTCAGATTGGGCACAATTCCCACACTGTGTCTCCAGTGTTGTCCCCCGTAGTGCTATGGTTCAGTGAGGTACGTCATGTTTTGTAGTGGAGCGGTCCCTATGGTCCTTTCTGTGCATTGGCTATTCTGAGCAGGAATATCGTCCTCAGGGCTTGGTGGGCCAGGATGTGCTCCACTCTCTCTTCCTCCTCCTTCATTTGCTCCCGTGTGCTCTGGTCAGACATGTCCCTCTCCCTGAGCTGTAGCTTCTGTGCTGTCCTCTGAAGTGAATTCTTCTCGGGGGAGGGGCACTGTCCACATATTGGGATTGGGGTCGGCCCCTCAGACCTCTCTACTGGTTCCCTGCTTCATGCCGGTGTGCTGCAGTCACGTCTTCAGCACCGGGTTGAAGTCTGCTGACCTCCTTCTCTGAGCTTCCATTCTGCTATCTACAGGGTCCCTCCCTCCTGAATGAGTCGAACCAGCTGACCTCTGACCCTCTATGTTTTAGAGTAGAACTGTGCTCCTGGGGATTTTTAACCACCGATTTCTAGAAAGTCAATGGTAGATCTTTCTTCCCAGGTTCCTCTGAGTGGCCTCTAACCTCTAAATTTCAATTTAGCAGCTGAGCTCCTCACATCGGTGGTGCATTCTGCGGCGTTTCTGACGGCCACCCAAACGTCATCGAATCCTACAATGTGAAGGCTTACAGCCTTGCGCACCCTGAGCGCAGCAGCTCTGCTCTGTTGTCCAGACTCCCTGTGAAGCAGAATGGTTTCCATAGCTAGCAGTGGGTTTGTTTTTTGAATTTTGGATGGCACAGCACAGTGATTACAGCAGCCACTAGATGTCACTCGTACTGCATGGTAGAGGGGAAGTTGCAGCTTTGCAATGCTGGGGTCCTCTTCCCCAAGCCCCTAAATCTAGAAGGGCTTTGCTTTGCCAAGCAGAACAGAGTGGCTGACACACCCATCTAGCTTTAAGAGCCTGATGATCGTCTGGAAGAAATCATCCCGTGAGCGTAAGCTACCTTGTTTGGTCCATCAGTTCCTTTCTTCCATCCCTATTTTATGGCCAATCGGTCACTGTCGTTTAACAGATTCAGACCTAAGAGATCTGCCACAACACACGCTTGCCTTTCCTTGACCGAATCCCTTTCCGCTTACTGAGCTGAACACTTAGTGCCAGGGCCCCGACTCATAGACCGTGGAGTTCAGGTGTGGTCACCTGCCTTGGACGAGTCGGACATGCACAGAGTGGTCATTTGCATGCTCTGATTTGAGG